TAGGTTGTCTCTTAGCTCTGTTGGTGGTTTCTCTTGCAGTGCAGAAACTTTTTAATAAGACGAGATCCCAGTTGTTGATTCTTTGTGCTAGTTCCCGTACTATTGAGGATTTGTTCATAAAGTCCTTTCCTATGCCAATGTCGAGAGTTCTACCTAACTTATCTTCCAACAAGTTTAGTGTTTCTGTTTTAATATTTAGATCTTTAATTTAGTGCATGGTGAAAGATAGGGGTCTAGTTTTAATTTTTGGCAATTGAAATCCAGTTTTTCCGACACCATTTATTAAAGGGCTATCTTTTCTCCAGTGAGGATGGTTGGCTACTTTGTCAAAGATGAGGTAGCTGAGTATGTCTGGAGTTGTTTCTGCATCTTCTACTCATCTATTCCATTGATCTTGGGTCTGTTTCTTTGCCATTAACATGCTGGTTTTTTGTTTTTTGTTTTTGGTACTGGCGATTGAACTCGGGACCTTTGCTTGTGAGGCAGGCGTCTGAACCACTGACTTAAATCTTGGGCCCATGAAGCCTTTTTTCTTTAACAGATACTTAGGTGTGCCCAGGGACTGTAAGGAAAACTGCCTGCTCTATTATAGCTTACAATCCAGGGGGAGATAATTACTGATTTGGGTAGACTAGTTTATCGTGGAAAGCATAGATGTAATAAATACTGAGGGGAAATTACTGGGGACTGTGCTAGGGAGTTAGGGAAGCCGCCTTTAATTGAATATAATTTGAATAGAAAACTTTAAAAAGTGCCCTTTTTTGTTTACATGTGTAATTAGTACTTTTACTGAGCTTTCTGAATTACACTTGAGAGATTCATTTTCAAGTTACTCTTCAAACATAGCCGAAATTGTAAAGCTTTAAAACATTGAAATGGTACAGATATAATGTATGTATGAAAATTTGCTGTTTCATGGTGTCTGGGCTCAGTGAATAAAGTTTGAGAGCCTTGCTACCACCTCACCTTGAGTTTTTCTTTCATCCACTGACTTAGTGAAATTTCTTCAATAAGGACCAGAAAGTTTATCATTCTATGTACCCACATGTAGTTTTGCTAGATGGTAATGCTCAATATAGGGTTTACATATTAAATGAAAAATCCTGCATATTAACCCAAAGTCAGGGTTAGGCCAAGGTTAGAACAGTGTATGTTTTGCTAGTCATATATTGCAGTCTAGTTATTTAAAAGCTGCTTGTGTTTTAACTTGTTTATTCTCCCTTCCTCCCTCTTTCCTTTTCTTTCTCCTAGTCTCCCCTTCCCTCCCTTCAGCAGCCCCCTTCCCTAGCTGGCTCAGTTATTTGCAGATATTTGATAATTAGTACCAGCTGATTGATTTTGAGGCACTCTATATTTCATATTGGTATCTCTTAGGAGAACATGTATTCCAAATTTACTGTTTTGAGCAAGTTTTAAGTCAGACTTGGAGCATGAAAGCTAACTAGGAATGAGTAGTGTATGTAACCTATCATGGATTAGTTCATGGATTAAATTAGTTCAATCTAGTTTTCTGATTAAAATTCGTTTTCTGATTAAGACTTGAGTGTCATTTGTAATGTTACCAGGAAAGGGCCGGGGATTTAGCTCAGTGGTTCCACTGCCTGCCTCACAAGCACAAGGACCTGAGTTCGATCCCTGGTACCAAAAAAAAAAAAAAAAAAAAAGAATGTAATGTTACCAGGAGAGATTGAAAACATCGTGTCAAAACCAGAAACAAAACAATGTGTCAAAAGGAAATTTGCTGTTTGTATCTTTGAATAGGTCAAAATTAATAATCTGACAATTCTTGCAGTTGGTTTCTTGAAATTATAATCCCTTTTGTTAATATAGGAGTAAGAAAACAAGCAAGTCTGGAATTTAGGAAAACACTGTCTTACTTGATCAAAGTATCTTATCACCTGTGACTTATACAGCTTTCGGAGGCTCATTAGCACCCTTGCTATTCCCTGGCCAAATGAGTACAGAGCTTAGATTTAGCATACGTTCCATGCTGTACACTTTGCTACTGCAGCCAATGCTAGTTTGCTGTAAAAAGACTGGTCTTACCAACTGTTCCAGTATCAGCCAGTTTCTTTTGTGTACTCATTTACTTTCTGTTATTAGAATGGTATGTATGTACTCAAAATTAGTTTAACATTCAACAAGTACAGTATTTGAGTGCCTTCTAAGTATTAAATGTTATATTCAGTGTTTTTTTCTTTGGCCGTATTGGGGATCGAACTCAGGACCTTGCACTTGCGAGGTAGGTGGCAGCACCACTGAGCTAAATCCCCGGCCCTATATATTCAGTGTTGTGTCTTCTGGATTGAGCAAAAGATATGTCCTAATGGAGTTAGCAGTTTAGTAGGAGAGTGAGATACTAAAGTCAGTGTTGTGAGACCTAAATTTGAAGAATCCAATTTAGGTTAATGAGTTGGGGAAAGCCAGTATGGAGATGAGTCAAACTGAAATTTAAAGGATGAATGAATAAGGTTAAAGTACTTTCTTGGCACTAGGATAAGGAGTCTGGCAAGTTTGATGATCTGTGGCAGAAAGAACTCCAACTGTTTGAGGTTGATGTGGCTGGAGAGATTAGTAGGGCTAGATGCACGTAGGCCACATTACGGAATACATTATGTATAGGTTTAAAGTAACACTTAATTGAAGTCAACATTGGCTACAAAAAAACTGGTCAGAGTAATGTATAGCTTGATGAATTTCACTAACATGCCTATGTACCAAGTACTAAGATCAGAAAAACAATATTACTGCCCCAGCTCCCTTTATTTTCCAGGGACTTTAAAACTTCTAATACTAAATGTACCTGTACCTTTCATGTTTTTGACATGGAATCATAGGTATTCTGTCTTATCCTCTTTAAATGTTAGGTGTATGAGATTCATCCTTGTATGTGTAATTGTATCTTTTTAATTCTATTGCTGTAAGTATTCCCACTGTATACACATAAATTAAAATTTATTTGTGAATTACGTTGATTGATGTTTGGGTTGTTTCTCTCTGGCTGTTCATAAACTTGGTCTCCTGGTTGATGTATGTGAGAGTTGCTGTCTAGAGTAGTGGTGAACCTATGGCCCATGTGTTGCTATTTGGTGTTTTTTTTGTTTTGTTTTGTTTTGTTTTGTTTTGTGAGGCAGGGTCTCCCTTTGTAGTTCAGGCTGCCCTTGAACTCATAGTGATCCTCCTGCCTCAGCCTCCTGAGTGCTGGGATTATAGGCGTGTACCACCTCGCCTGGCTCTGTTTTCTTTCCTTTTTTTTTTCTTTTAAGACAAAAGATGTGAATATATGAATTGTTTTTTCTTAACTAAAACCTCAGTGTTCAGATTTCGTTGCAGTGTTGACACTTCCGTGATAAATAAGTGGGTTTTGGGCTCCAGTTTAGGCACCCGTCTCTAAAAGTTTTGCCATTACTGGTTTAGAGTACACTGTATATCCAGGGGTGAAATTGCTGTGTCATGGGATATGCACATCTGCAGCTTTACCAGGTAATGCCAAATTCTTTTCTAAAATAGTTATTCCACCTTTATAAGTTCACCAGCCTGTTGAAGGATTTTTTTTTTGGGTACTGGGGATTGCACTCGGGACCTTCCGCTTGGGAGGCAGGTGACAGAACCACTGAGCTAAATCCCCAGCCCCTGTTGAAGGATTTTAAGCAGAGAATGGTATCAGATTTGTTTTCAAAAGGTTTCTCTGGTTGTTACATAGTGAAGAATAAGAAGGGATGTAGGACAACACCATAGAAGAATAACTGTAAATTAAGAAAGATTAGCTTTCATTGGTGACAAAAGTAATTCATAACGATCCAGTATCAGAATTGCTAGTGGAGTCTGTTCATTATTAATTGATTATTGCCAACTAACGTGTTTTGGCATTGCTAAGCAAATATGCTTTATCCATATTAATTTCTATCATATTCAGGATTTATAAAACAAGGTCATACATTTTCTTTGGAAAAACCCGTAGAAATTTCATTAATCTCATCCATTAGAGCTAGTTTTACTCAAAAGAGATTACACAGTGTAACATATCTTGTACAGACCTCATATAGCAGTAGATTTTATAATAAATAGTTGTAATAATTCATTTGGGCTTACAGGAGTAATTTGGATTGTACAAGTTCTGCTATAATGTTAAGAACCTCATAGAGGTATAATGAAAGGTAACTTTTCAAAACCAGATGTTAAGGATTATTTTTCTACATTTCTGATATATGTTAGTATTTGATCCTAGGATTATCTATAATGATTATAATTACAGTGTGCTTAACATGTTCCTGGTTGTTTGAACCATTGGTAGTACATGCCTTGACTGTCCCATCGGGTGGCTTGTATCACTGGTGGTACAAATGAATCTAATCATTTTTATTTATTTTTTTACTAATAAAATTAATAAAAAGCCACCCGATGGGACATTCAGGCATGTACCATCAGTGGTTCAAGTCACCTGGCAGTGAAACATGAATTATTGCCTTGCTGTGAATGTATTAAATTTGTTTAGGCTTTGTGGTTTTTTGGGAGAGTTTTTTTTTTTTTTTTGGTGATAAAACAATAAAATTTTTCAACATGTTTAGAGGTACAATAGATTATGCAGATACTCAAGTGTGTTCACTTTGGATGTAGAATTTGATATAAATTCTTATGTAAACCCACATATTTGTAGTCTGTTTAACTATATAGGCCAAAGGTAACTAAATTTGAATTACAAAATGTGATGATTGGCTAAACGTGATAATTACAAGCATTTTCATTTTATTTCAGAGTTTTCTTGGAGGCTTTTTTGGTCCCATTTGTGAGATTGATGTTGTCCTTAATGATGGAGAAACAAGGAAAATGGCAGAGATGAAGACTGAAGATGGCAAAGTGGAAAAACACTATCTCTTCTATGATGGAGAGTCTGTTTCAGGAAAGGTAAATCTTTTGTTTGACAGAATTATCTAGTTGTAGAATATCAGAATTAGTCATGAAAATGGTTTATGCTCTGAATTTGAATAATTTTGTTAGAAATTTTTTTCCCTGAAGGTCAGCTAAAATCTTTGATTGGTTAGAACATTTACAAGAAAGATTCTTACCCTGGAATGGTGAATCTTGACTCGTAATATATATGTGTGGTAGACAGTTTGGGAAATAAAATAAATATAGTTCCATCATGGAAATAATTCACTGTTAAAAATTTGGGTGTGCTTCTTCCTGGTTTCTCTGCATTTATTAGTGTACATTTGTTTGTGTTACAGTGTCACTTGATGATGAGGATACATTTTTGACAAATGTGTCTAGGTGGTTTCATCATTGTGCAGACTTCATAGTATACTTAAACAGACCTAACCTATTATACATGTAGGCTATGTGATACAACCTATTTAAAATTTTATTTTTTAATCATTTTAATTTTTTAAGCATTTTTGTTAAAAACGACAAAAGTACATCAGCCTAGGCCTACACAGTCAGGATTATCAGTATCACTGTCTTTTGCCTCCTTGTCTTGTCCCACAGGAAGTCCTTGAGGAGCGATAACATGCTTAGAGCTGTTACCTCCTTTGATAACATTGCCTTCTGGAATGTCGCCTGAAGAACCTGCCTGATGCCATTTTACAGTTGCTAGTTTTTTAAGAAGTAGAAATTCACTCTAAAATAATGAAAGACTATTATAATAAATACATAAATCTGCAATATAATTGTTTATATTAATATAAACTTATATATAATTGTATGTGCAATATTTTTATGCTCCTGGCAGTCCAGTGAGTTTGTTTACACCAGCATGACCAGTAATGCCTTGGAGTGTTCTCATGGATAGAAGTCACAAGGTGATAGGAATTTCTCGGATCCTTTAGAACCTCACTGGACAACCATTGTGTATGGAGTTTGTGGTTGACCAAAACAGTATTATGTGGTATATGACTGTATGTTAAACACACCTTTTCCTGTTGTTGGGTATTTAAATAGTTTATATTATTTAGATAGTTTTTAATATACTGTCATATCTTTGGCAATATAGGCATAAACTTTTCTCCAGATTCTGTAGGATAAGATTATTTCAGTAGAATAGATTCCTAAAGTGAGTTTTTGGGCCAAAAGACATGAGTATTTGGAGCATCTTATTACATATTAATTTGGAAAATTTATGGGCACTGATTTCACCTGTGTTGTCTTGGTTTTTTTTTTTTTTTAGTACCGAGGATCAACTCAGGACCTTGGGCTTGCTAGGCAGGCGTGGCACCACTGAGCTACATCCCCGCCCCTTATGTTGTCTTTTTGACCCATGGCAGCGTTGCATATTTTTTTGTTTTGGGTTTTTTTTGGTTCTGGGGATTGATCTTGAGACCTTGCACTTGCGAGACAGATGGTGGAACCACTGAGCCAAATCCCCGGCCCCGGCAGCATTGAATATTGCTTTGTCAGTTTTGTTATTTTAACAGGCAAAATGATGTTACTGTTTTAATTTACGCTTCTTTGGTTACTAGGTAGGTTTGATTCTTTTGGCAAGAATATAAGTGGTAGGGTATTTTTTTTATTGGGTGTACATACACTGTAGTTTTCTTTTTCTCTTCTGCAACTGTTGATGCTCAATACCCAGATTGATTTCATTCATCATGTGTTGCAAAATGGGCATTATTTTAATTCTCGCATTTTGTTTTTACTTGCTGGATAGGATACAATTGTGTTCATTTGTTGTTTTGGTACAATTCATATAAAAAAGAGAAGAAATGCTAGATGCACATCCCTTATCTATTTATTTATTGCCCTTAGGGACTTAACAGGCTGAAATCAGTCTTATCTGAAGTTTTGGATCCTCATCCACTCTTCTGGGTTTGGGCAGAAATAATTTCCTTAGAGCAAGCACTACTTAACGTCCTGGTTTTCCTGTGATGTGGGCCTGGAACCACTTTTCTCCTAGAAGCTGCCCTCAGATTCTTGCTGCATGGCTTATTTCTCTCACAAACAGCAATTTGCTTTGTTTTCAGGCCAATGAGAGAGCATCTGTCTTACATTCACCTTCTTTTAAAGAGTTTACCTGGTTAGATCAGACCCACCCACAATAATCTCCCTTTTGATTAATTTAAAAAATCAACTGATTAAAAAAAAATCAACTGATCAATAACCTAAACATGGGAGTGGTATTCACTGGGTCTACTGTCAGAGGGGGGGATCATGAAGATGTTGTGCACCACAAGAGCTACCTGAGAGCTGTGCCTCTGTGCTCATGTTGTAGGGTTCTCTGTGCACCATGAGTTAGTTAGGCCCTTTTGACATAACTCTGGGATTTTCCCTTTCTTTTTAAGCTTTGTTGAGGTATAACATAAAATTTACCTCTTCTAAATATATTTTAAAATTTTCTTTTTAAAGCTTTATTGAGGTATAAAATTCACTCATTTTATGTGAACTTAAAATTTTTAGTAAATGTATAGAATTGTGCAACCATCACCACTATCTTGATTCCAGAATAATTTTTATTATTCCAAAAATAAAACATGTACTATTATTGGTTACTTTCCATTTCCCCGCCCTTTGGCTTCTTATGACCACTAATTTATATTGTTAAGAATTTGCAGGGCCGGGGATTTAGCTCAGTGGTTCCACTGCCTGCTTTGCAAGTGCAAGGTCCGGAGTTCGATCCCTGGTACCAAAAAAAAAAAAAAAAAGTTTGCCTCTCCTGGATATTTCATATTAAGAGAATTATGTAATATGGGGCCTTTCCTGACTGGTTTCTTTTACTTGTATAATGTTTTTGAGGTTCATTCATGTTGTAGTATGTATCATCTGTATTTCATTCCTTTTTATTGCTGTATAATATTTTATGGCCATACCACATTTTTAATATTGATTTTATTGATATTGGAATACCAGTTGATATTGATATTGGAATTCCAAGTTGATGCTTGGAATATTTCCACTTTTTGGCTTTTAGAAATAATGCTGCTGTGAAGTTATTGTGTGGATCTGTGTTTTCATTTCTCTTGAGCAGAATTACTACGTCTTAGGTAAACTTCAAACTTTCTAAGAAATTGCCAAAGACCCTAGGAATTTTTAGAGGCTTCATTGCTAATTGGTATGATAAGATGTTCCAGAATCCTATACATTTCCTACTGGCCGTATATTTCAAGACTGCAGTCTGCATGCTAGGAATACTCACTGCTATTTGGTCATTTTTTTTTTTTTTTGGTATTAGGGATTGAACTCGGGTCCTTGCCCTTGAGAGGCAGGCTGCAGAACCACTGAGCTAAGTCCCCAGCCTGGTCATTGTTTTTAAGCTTTTCAGTGGGTAAGTGTGGGAAGAGCAGCATTTTATATAATTTTATATAAATTAAATATGTTTATTCTTTTTTTTTTTGAGACAGGATCTCATTATGTAGTTTAGGCTGACCTCAACCTCACAGCAATCATCCTGCCTCAGCCTCCTGAGTGTTGAGATTACAGGCATGCACCACCATACCTGGCCATATTCTTATTTATGTATATTGTTCAAAATAAAACACTTTAGGAATAATCATTTCTAATTCCATTTCAGAACTATAGAACTTTTTGTTTTTACTTAACCTCTTTTCTATTATATATTTATCTCCTTCTAAACTAACAATCTTAGTTTTCAAAGACAGAGGGGGAAGGGGCCTGGGATTTACCTCAGTGGCACTGCGGCTGCCTTGCAAGCCCAAGGTCCTGAGTTTAATCTCTGGTACCAAAAAAAAAGACACAGGGGAAAATGTAATTGGTATATCACATAATTTACTCATTTGTTTTTATCCCACATTATATAAACAATACTTTCAGAATAACAATACTAATATTGCCAATATGTTTATGAAGTTAGCTAAATACTTAGCTTATGCTATTTTACTTCCATTTCATAAGTTTACTGTAAGTACTACATTGTCAGCACACAGTCATTCTATACTGTGTTTCTTTTGTTTACCATTTAGTCTTGGTTTGTAAGTAACTATTAGCACCTTCCTTATGTCTTAATCTCTTTAGTTGTCTGATGCTCATTCTCTGGTTACTAGAGTCTGATAGATTTCTTAGGAAATGGTCATGAGAACAATATCACTTGAGTTTTTGCATGTTGTTCTGGCTTTTTTGTGTTCTTTAACTTGAAAGTTTTACTGAATATAAGAATATTGGCTTTCATTTTCTTTCTTTTTTTTTTTTTTTTTTACCAGGGACTGAACTAAGGACCTTGCGCTTCGGAGGCAGGTGGGGAGCCACTGAGCTAAATCCCTAGCCCATTTTTTTTTTTTAATATTTAAGATTACTCCATTGTCTTCTAGTGTAAAGCCTTGTTGTCAAAACCTAATTTTATTTCCTTATAACCTGGCATGCCCTGTCTGCCCTCATACACCGTAGGAGACTCCTTGTCTTTGTGTCTGTCATCTGTCTGTCTGTCTCTTCCTCTCTCTTCCTCTTTCCTTTCAGTACTGGCGATTGAACCGAAGGCCTTGCATAAGCTAGGCAGATGCTCTGCACTTTCATTAAGTTGTTTAATTTTTTTCTTTAAAGACAATTTTCTTGATGAATTATAGTCGCTTAGTATTTGAATCTCACAATTCTTTTTTTTTTGGTACTGGGGATCGAACTCTGGTCCTTAAGCTTGTGCAGCAGGCAGCGAAACCACTGAGCTAAATCCCAGGCCCAGTCGCTTAGTATTTGTACCACTCTATTGTTTTGGCTTTCTTAAGGGATTTGTTGTTTCTTAATCCAGATCCTTGTGCAAGCTAGGCAAATGCTGTGCCACTGGGCGGCAGCGCTAGTCCCAGGGTTTCTTTTTATTTATTTATTTATTTGTTATTTTTTGGTACCGGGATCAAACTTGGGTCCTTGCCCAGCAGGCATCGAAACCACTGAGCTAAATCCCCAGACCCCCGGGGTTTCTTATTTATCAGCATTCTAAATCTTGTTTGACAGTCTTCAGTATTTGA